GTGTGTGTGTGTGTGTGTGTTGTGTGTGGTGTGTGTGTGTGTTGTGTGTGTGTGTGTGTGTGTGTGTGTGTGTGTGTTGTGTGGTGTGCGTGTGTGTGTGCGTGTTTGTGTACGTGTGTGGTTGTGTGTGTGTGTTGTGTGTGTGTGTGTGTGTGTGTGTGTGTGTGGTGTGTGTGTGTGTATTTGTGTAAGTACTTGTCACAGATTTCTTTTGTGTGTGTTTGTGTGTGCGTACGTACGTGCGGAATATATAAATATACAAATAGACAAATATATAGACAAGCAAGCAAATCAATCCACAGACAAAAAAATAAAGAAACAAATAAAAGAATAAACATGACAATAAACAACCATAAACACGAATAAAAAAAAAACAACATCTTCCAGTGTTTGATCCTCCTAAATGTTGCATAAACCCAAATGCAAAATGAATCTAATACCACAAGGACATTCTGCATCTTGAATGGCCAACGACGAAGAGAAGCCAAACGGGGTTATGGCAGGGAGTATCCGTCTGTTTTGGGCTTGTCGATATGTCTGCTTCCTCTTGTTTATGGCTTGTATGAGGGAGGGAGGGAATCAGGGAGGGGAGGGAGGGAGGGGAGGGAGGCGAGGGAGGGAAGTGGTAGGGGAGGGAGGGGAGGGAGAAGGGAGGGAGGAAGAGAAAAGGAGAAGAATTAGATGGTTGAGATAGGGAGTAGTATTTATATAGAGGGAAGTGTGTGTGTGTGGATTGGTGTGAAGTTGTGTGGGGTGTAGATGTGCGGAGGTGAGGTGTGTGATGCGGGACGGGGAGGAGGGAGGAGAAGGGACGGGAGGGAGGGAGGAGGGAGGGAGCAGGGAGGGAGGGCGGAGGGAGGGAGGGAGAAGCGGAGGGAGGGAGGGAGTGAGGGAGGGAGAAGGGAGGGAGGAGGGAGGGATGAAGGGGGAGGAGGAGGACGCGGAGGGAGGGAGGGAGGGAAGGAGGGAGAGAGGGGAGAGGGAGGGAGGGAGAAGGGAGGGAGGAGAAGGGAGGGAGGGAAGGGAGGAGCGGAGGGAGGGGAAGGATTGAGAGGGCAGGGAGGGAGGAGGAGACGAGGGAGGGAGGGAGAGGGAGAGAGGAGGGAGGGAGGGAGGGCAGGGAGGGAGGAGGGAGGAAAGGAGGAGGGAGGAGGGAGAGGAGGACGGGAGAATGAGGTTTGGGTAGGGTAGGGAGAGAAAAAGAGGGAAGTGCGGGAGGAGGGATGGGAGAGAGAGAGGAGGGGAGGCGGAGAGTGATAGGGATGGGAGAGAGAAAGGAAGGAAAGCAGAATAGCGAAGTAGCGGAGCGCGAAGAGGATAAAGGCGGATCGGACGGCTCTGAGGGATGGGAGAAGGAACCGGAGCTTTTAGATAGATAGATTAGAGAGAAAGAGAAAAGAGGAGAGAAGGAGATGAGAGAGAGAGAGAGAGAGAGAGAGAGAGAGAGAGAGAGAGAGAGAGAGAGAGAGACAGACAGAGACAGAAACTGAGAAAGAAAAAAAAAAAAAAGAGAAAAAACAATGAAAATAAGAAAATAATGAAAAAAAGAAAAAAAAACAAAAACAAAACAAAATAGACGTTATAACACACACAAAAAAATGAAAAAAGACGGAGATGCGCCATTAATCTAGCGCTTTCCTCCATTAGCAAATTGACGGAACTTTCCATAATCTTCTCATATGGGAGGAACAATAACAGATTTTGCTTCGATCCTTATTTTCCTTATTCTGCTTTTATGCGCAAGTGAAAAAAGATCTAACGCCATTTTTTTCTTTATTCTTTTTTAGGAAAATGGGAAGGACTTTTTTAAATACAATTGTTATCATGTGTTTTATTTATTTACTTTTTTTTTTTTTTTTTTTTTTTTTTAGAGAACTTGCAATCTAAATTTCACTAGGAGTTTTGACTTCAATTGTACATATTATTTTTTTTTCTTTTAATTCTCTTCCATCCCCTAATTATTTTTCTTCTCTTTCACCTCCTCTTTCTCCTCGTCCTCCTCTTCTTTCTCCTTTACCTCCTCTTCCTCCTGCTCCTCGTCTTGTCTTCCTCCTCTTCTTCTCTTCTTTTCTCCTCCTTCACCTCCGCCTAATCTTTCTACTCCTCGTCTTCGTCCTCCTTCTTCTTCTACGCATCCTTCACTTTCTCCAGCTCCTCCTATTCTTCCATCTCCTCCTCCTCTTCTCCTGTCCTGTCTTCGTCGCCTCTCCTCCTCCTCCTTCTCTGCCTTCGTGCCTCCTTCTCCTGTCCCTTATCTTCGCCGACTTCCTCCTTCTCTTTCTAAATTCGTTTCCTCCTCTTTACTTCGTCCTCCTCCTTACCTTCATCTTTCCTCGTCCCCGTCTTCATCTTCCTTCCCTCTTCTCCTCCTCCTTGCCCTTGTTATCGCCCTTTTCCTCCTCCTTCCTCTTTCGTCCTCCTCTTCCTCCATCATCTTTTGTTCTCCTTCCTTTTTCGTTTTCTTCTCCTTTATCGTAAATATCGACGTTTCTTGAGAACCAGATCTACGTTTCACTGACTCACTATTCATTCATATGCGACCTCGCCCACTCTCGCATTCTCGCACGGACGCACGGACGCACGAACGCACGAAAGCACGAAGCAAGAACGCACAAAAAGCACAAATACTACGCAACGCACAAAGTACGAACGCACAAAAGCACGAACGCACGATAGATAACGCACGATAGCACGAATGTACAAAAGAAAAAAAACACGATAGCACGAAATGCACAAAAGCACGGAATGTAAAAAGCACGAAAGCACGTAGCAAGAATGCACAAAAGTACGAAACGCACAAAAGCACGATACAAAAGTACGAACACACGACGCACGAATGCCATAAAAGCACGAACACACGATAGCACAAACGCACAAAAGCACGAACACACGTAGC